TGTCCTGGCCCCACTGCTGGACCTCCTGATGGCACTGGTATTTTTGGCCACTGTGTGACACAGAGTGTGGGACTGGATGGGCCTTTGGCCTGATCCAACATCGGCTTCTCTTATGTTCTTATAAGAGGGAATTGGATAAGCATATGGAGCAGAGGTCTATCAGTGGCTATGAGCCCCAAGGTATAGATAGGAACTCTCAGTCTGGGGCAAGGGATGCTCTGTGTTCTTGGTGCTTGGGGGGGGCAACAGTGGGAGGGCTTCTAGTGTCCTGGCCCCACTGCTGGACCTCCTGATGGCACCAGGTGAAACAGAGTGTTGGACTGGAGGGGCTGTTGGCCTGATCCAGCATTGGCTTCTCTTATGTTCTTATGTTATCTTCATTCCAATGTGATGGCCTTTCCCATCGTCAGTAAACAGCCCCTTGAGTGTATCTGGTATCTCTCCAATTGTCTCTGCTTGATCCTCAAGCATAACCAAACCAAACAAAGAGAGAATCACAGAAACAGCCACATCACAAATAAGAACAAACCGTGACAGACAAACTAGTTACTTCCAAAAGCATTTTGGTAATTTTATATCAAATAAAATGTATATATGCTATGGTTTCTGTATACTGAATGCATCCCTTACTCCTTAGGAGACTCTTCCCTTGTATTAGTTTTTGTAATAAGGACTTAACACGATTGAGTGAATCTTTTTGAATCAATACCAGTTAGAGACTGTATTTTTTCCAATGCTACACACTGAATCACTTGGCACGTTTTGCACGATTTATGTGGAAATGATACAAAAATCACCAAAATGCCTTTGGAAGTTGTTATTATTCGTTAGCCTGTCACGGTTTGTTTTTTATTTGTGATGATTCTCAAGATTAGCACTAGAACAGGGGTCCCCAACCGTCTTGAGCCTGTGGGCACCTCTGGAGTTCTGACACAGATCCCAGTGCTGTGGCGGCAGCCAGTCGGATCTCCAGCGCTTTTCCTGAAGCCTTGCTGGGCAAAAGCCACACCTGGCCCCGCCCACTTTCTCAGAACACCCTGGCAGCTACCCGGTGACGTGAGAGCAAGAAGGTCCCGGTGTCTTTCTTTCCCTGTGGCTTCAGAAACGAGCAACGCTCCCTCTAAGCTGTGGAAAAATCCTGCTTTCTGAGCTCCTGGCATTGAAGTTGTGAGCAAGCCATTTGGCTGCTGCATACATCAGTTTGCTCCGGAGCCCTCCTTCCTGAGCTAAGACAAAAATGTGTGAGACGGGGGCTAAAAAACTGTGAGCTGGCTCACAGTAACTCAGCTCAAGGGGAACAGTAGAAATGGGTGTTTATAATCCATGTCTGTTAGCATTTCAAAGCCAGTTTGGTGTAGTGGTTAGGAGCGCGGACTCTAATCTGGGAAAACCGGGTTTGATTCCCCACTCTTCCACATGCAGCTGGTGGGTGAGCTTGTGTCAGTCACAAGTTCTCTCAGAGCTGTTCTCTCTTGAGCAGTTCTCAAAAGAGCTCTCTCAGCCCCACCTACCTCACAGGGTGTCTGTTGTGGGGAGGGGAAGGGAAAGGAGATTGTAAACCACTCTGAGACACTGTAAGCCGCTCTGAGAATCTGAGTAAAGAGCAGGGTATAAATCCAATATCTTCTCATCTTCTTCTGAAGGGGTACAAGATTTACATAATAGGATTCTGCTTACAATAAGTTATACATAGCAGTATAGACTACAGTCCCTAATCATATTGTCCAGGTTTGTGCAGCCCTGTTACCTGTGCGGAAAAGTCCTCTTGAATAGTAGAAAGCCAGAAACGTGGGAGTCTTCGTGCCCACTTCAGGCAGGCCGTTTCAAAACAGGCACGTATATGGGCAGTTGTTGATTTTGCCAGTTTTGCAGGTTGGCGCACACTGAAACCCCTGCCGAGATGCACTTAGATGTCATGGCAGAGCATAAGGAGAGAAGTCCCCCAAATAAGAGGGGCCAAGGTCATCAAGGGCTTTGAATGGGATAGCCAATACTTTAAACCGAGCTTGGTCACAAACTGGAAGCCAATGGAGTGTCCGCAGAATTGGAGAAATATGTACGCTCCATCTAGTTCCCTCTAATAACCAAGCCATGGCTTTCTGAACCAGCTGGGGTTTCCAAGCTGATTTTGAGGGGGAGAGCCAGTCGTGTGTAGTGGTTAGGAGTGCGGACTCTAATCTGGAGAACCGGGTTTGATTCCCCACTCCTTCACATGCAGCCAGCTGGATGACCTTGGGTCAGTGAACAAGTTTTCTCGGAGCCGTTCTCTCAAGAGCAGTCCTCGGAGGAGCTCTCTCAGCCCCACCTACCTCACAGGGTGTCTGTTGTGGGGAGGTGAAAGGAAAGGAGACTGTAAGCCGCTCTGAGACTCCTTTGGGTAGTGAAGGGCGGGGTATATATCCAGTCTCCTCCTCCTCTTTCTCCTTCCTAGTCTCAAAATTACTTTGCTGTTTAGTAGAATAGTTGCCACCTCTTCGAAATCTTAACCTGTCAGTGGAGCCATAGCTTGTGCGGGAACTAAAGCTCGATATCTGCTTCCAGGCACAGCTGTTCTTGAAAAAGAGCAGTTTCTGTCAGAGCTCTCTCAGCCTCACCTACCTCACAGGGTGTCTGTTGTGGGAAGGGGAAAGGAAAGGAGTTTGTAAGCCGCTCTGAGACTCCTTTGGGTAGTGAAGGGTGGGGTATAAATCCAATCTCTTCTTCTCTCCCCCCACCCCTTCCTGCCCCGTTGACTTCAGCGTAAACTGACCTCTTCTTCCTTCCCGCAGGGTAGCGAGGAGGCTCTCGGCACAGCGGAAGAATACCCCGCACCGGCTGGCCACCAAGAACAGAACGGAAAGATGCGCCAACGCCCTGGCGAACAGAGAAGATGCTCCTCCTCCAAAGAAACTGAGAATGTACGTTGACGGAAAGGGGTCAAGAGAGTCGCAGCTTACTTGAATTGGGCGCCGAGCTTTGCCAGCGTCTTCCTCAACCCCCCTTTCAAGTCTACAGCTTGGAGCGGAGTAGCCGGCTAGGAAACTGAGTGTTGTAAAAGCCTTTGAGCCTGTTGGCCGTTGTATGAAAGCACCGGCCTAATATGTGCCATAGTTCTGCCAGAGCAGAGTGTACGGCAAAAGCACAGAGGGGCACTACCAGCTCTCTTTGAAGGGATGTTTTAGGCCTTATGGCTGTATCGATGTGCCTAAAAAGTGTGTAGGAGAAACGCTCCCTATATGAGTGGGTTTCTGAATTAAGCTGGCTTGTGGTCCCAAGCACCTGTTGCACGTGCCTCCTTGGCCTTTTCCCATGACATCTTGAAGAGTAAGAGTGATCATGTGGTTCAGGGTTCAGTCTCTCCAGCCGTACAGCTTTGCATTCCATCGGTGTGCAGTTGTATATGTGAGTGTGTGGAAGCCTTGCTCTAATTATCCTACCCCCTCCCCGAGTGCCGCGTGACGTAGTGTGCGCCCGTCTCTGGCCCCCAGCTCCTGCCAACCTAGCGGTTCGACAGTGAGAAATTGCAGATAGATAAACAGGTAGTGCTTTGGTGGGAAGGTGACAGCGTTCCGTGTGCCTCAGGCATCTAGTCATGCCGGGCACAAGACCATGGAGAAGTCCGCGGACAGCGCCGGCGCTTCGGCTTGGAAACGGAGATGAGCGCCGCCCCCAAGAGTCGGATTCGACTGGCTTTCGAGTGAGGGAAGCCTTTACCTTTACTCCTCCCTCCCCCATTGTGAGGAAGGAGTGCACAAATTTTTGGAAACCGTCAGGGCAACCAAACCCCCCCAAGTTGGGATCTTCAGTCCCTTTAGTCCTGCTCCACTAACCGTGTCATCTCCGTCAGTATTCTGGTTCCTTCCTCAAATTTTCCTGTCCTGAAAGAGAAGTACCTTGCAGATTCTTGGGGACTGTAACACACCCTTAAATGTCTGGATTCGAAGTGGTGCAGAATCTGGGGCAGGGGGAGGCGCAGAGGTTATGCGGTCCCGGCTGCCAGAAACCAGGGCTACCACGGCGGCCGGGGAACCGGAGACTGGCCTCCGCATGCCAGTGCTGGGACACGATCTTCCAGGAAGTAGTGTTCTCGTGGAGAGTCTCAGCGGGCCTCGTGCCAGGAGGAGCCCGTCTCCCTAGTACACCGTCCTCCAAATCTGCAGCCACGGATGGACCCCTTTCTCTTCTAGGAGCAGGAGAAGCAGTACTTGCGTGCAGTGCTCCCTCTAAGCTGTGGAGTCTTGTGAGCCAAAATTCTCCTTTGTGAGCTACCGGCATTAAAGTTGTGAGCGAGCGATTTGGCTGCTGCATGAATTAGATTGCTCTGGAGTCCTCCTTCCCAGGCTGGGACAAAAATGTGTGAACTGGAGGCTAAAAAAACGGTGAGCTAGTTCATGCTAACTCAGCTTAGAGGGAACACTGCGCATGTGTGCGTCTGCCTGTGTTAGCGATAGGTTAGGCTGGGCCAGGAGTCAATTTAGGAGATGGTGCGCTCTGAAAAGCCCTGTGCTGTTCCCTCTCCAGTGCTGACAGACAGCCCAAGAAAGCTAAGCCCTGTGTGCCTGGCCGTGGGTGGAGGTAAGGCTACTTCTAGATCCACCCGGGTGTTTCAGGTCCTCTGCACTATGGTGACGGGGCTGGGACTCTTTCTGTATTTGAGGGTCTAGTGCAGAGGGGTCCCCAACGCAGTGCCTAGGGGACACCATGGTGTTTTCCCACACTTTTCCTGGGGCCCGCCAAGTGTTTTGAGAAAGGGAGTGGTGCCAAGTAAGTGGGACGTTTGCCCTGCGGGCCTTCTGATGGATGACCGGAGATCTGATTCGCCGTGCGATCTCGACGGGGAAGGCGGGGCGTAAATCAAATAAATAAATAAATGTGCTTCAGATCAACAGCTGCCACCCCACAGCCCAAGGATCTTCACTGTTGCTTCGTATATGCGATGAGATTTTTTAAAAACTGTGTGTTCCTTTTAAAAGGCATGCTGGTAAGCAGAGCTTCTTCCTGAAATATTGAAGTTCAGCATTTTGTAATTGGACCTGCCTTCTGGGGCAGCCATTTTGCCACTGTGCCCACCACGCTGTGTCAGAATTCCAAAGGTGCCTGCAAGCCTGAAAAGGTTGTTGGCGACCCTTGGTCCAGCAAGTGTCTGGAGTCTAGTATGCTTCAACCCAACCCTCTCCCCCCTCTCTCCTCCAGGTCTGACAGCAGGGAGCAACTGAGAGAAATTCCTGCGAACCGGAGTGTCTCACCAGCAAAAGCCAAAGCAAAGAGAACGGGGCCCAGCCTGCCAACAACTCCAGAGTAGGTACCATGAAGTTGGGTGGCTTGCCTGCATTGGTCTTGCAACAGAACCAAACGGGGTTCGTCGGATGGAAAATGCAGTGCTGCAGCTTTGCTTACTTTTGAGACTCTCAAAAATGAGAGATCACGGGAGGAAGTGGAATACCAAAAACAATATCTGTGACAAAAATAATGAAAAGTCAATAAAGAGAAGTTGCAAAAATGTTTACTGTAGTAATTCTGTAGAAAAATTTATTCTATAATCGCTCACATGGAACGAATACTGCGCAATGTAAACAGTTCGTTTCACAATATTTGCTTAGCAATCCCAATTCTTACCAATTACTGCTTGTCAACTCTTGAAGGAAACATTCCATGTTGACTCTCTAATAACAGAACCCAAGGTCTTGTGAAGACCTTGTTATTAGGGTGTCAACATGGAATGTTTCCTTCAAGAGTTGACAAGCAGTAATTGGTAAGAATTGGGATTGCTAAGCAAATATTGTGAAACGAACTGTTTACATTGCGCAGTATTTGTTGCGTGTGAGCGATTGTAGAAGAAAATTTTCTACGGAATTACTACAGTAAAGGTAACTGTCAAAGAGATTGGAACAGACTTTCCAGGACTCATGGTGAACATAAGAGAAGCCATGTTGGATCAGGCTAATGACCCATCCAGTCCAACCCTCTGTCACACAGTGGCCAAGACCCAGGGGTCCACCAGTGGGGCCAGAACTCCAGAAGCCCTCCCACTCTTGCCCCCCCCAAGAACCAAGAAGACAGAGCATCCCTGCCCCAGACAGTGTTCCACCTATACCTTGTGGCTAATAGAAGAAGAGAAGAAGAAGAGATTGGATTTATACCCCGCCCTTCACTACCCAAAAGTGTCTCAGAGCAGCTTACAAACTCCTTTCCCTTCCCCTCCCCACAACAGACACCCTGTGAGGTCGGTGGGGCTGAGAGAGCTCTGACAGAAACTGCTCTATTTCAAGAACAGCTCTGGCTAGCCCAAGGTCATCCAGCAAGTGAAAGTGGAGGAGTGGGGAATCAAATCCGGTTCTCCCAGACTAGAGTCTGCGCACTTAACCAATACACAGAGCCACTGATGGACCTTTGCTCCATATAAGAACATAAGAGAAGCCATTGTTGGATCAGGCCAATGGCCCATCCATTCCAACACTCTGTGTCACACAGCGGCCAAAAATACCAGGGGCCATCAGGAGGCCCACCAGCGGGGTCAGAACTCCAGAAGCCCCTCCACTCTTGTTCCCCCAAGCACCCAGAATGCCAAGCACCACAGTCCCAGACCATAGGAACATGAGAAGCCATGTTGTATCAGGCCAGTGGCCCCTCCACTCCACCACTCTGTGTCCCACAGTAGCCAAAACCCAGGGTCCATCAGCAGGCCCACCAGCGGGGCCAGAACTCCAGAAGGTGGAGAAGCAACTATCCGTTTCTTGTGCGGAGTGAGGCCCTGTGTCTTGACTTTTAACGGTTCCTTGGGAAACCTGCCAGCAAAGGTTCGGGCAGCTTGGTTGTGAGTTGGCTTCAGCCGTCTACCCTGCCCTTCCTTTCTTCAGCACCCTGCCCAGCCTTTGCAAGGCGTTTCTCGTATTCAGCCCCGCATTTCATAGGCCTAGCCGTCTGAAGAAGCCTGCAGTGACTGGCAGGGCTCGAACCACCGACCAGCTGTTGAATAGTGCCGTAGCTCAGGTGATGCCTCGACTGGCTGGCATGTCTTTTAGCTTCTTGCGTGCCTTTTAAATGTGCAAAATTCCTGCTTTGGGGGAATGAGTCACTAGTCCTACCAGTGTCTTTGTAGCAGGTTTTTGGCCCAGAATTGGCCCTTGGCTCTTGTCTGGAGAGACCTGTCAGCCTTTGTGAGCCAGTTTGGTGTCGTGGTTAAGTGCGCGGACTCTAATCTGGGAGAACCAGGTTTTATTCCCCACTCCTCCACTTGCACCTGGCTGGATGACCTTGGGCAAGCCATAGTTCTGATAAAAGCTGTTCTTGAAAAAGAGCCGTTTCTGTCAGAGCTCTCTCAGCCCTGCCTCCCTCCCAGGGTGTCTGTTATGGGGAGGGAAAGGGAAAGGAGTCTGTAAACCTCTCTGAGACTCCGAGTGAAGGGTGGGGTATGAATCCAATCTCCTCCTCCTCTTTGGTGTAGTGGTTAATTGCGCGGAGTCTGATCTGGGAGAACCAGGTTTGATTCCCCACTCCTCCACTTGCACCTGGCTGGATGACCTTGGGCAAGCCATAGTTCTGATAAAAGCTGTTCTTGAAAAAGAGCCGTTTCTGTCAGAGCTCTCTCAGCCCCACCTATCTCCCAGGGTGTCTGTTGTGGGGAGGGGAAGGGAAAGGAGTTTGTAAGCCGCTCTGAGACACCTTTGGGAAGTGAAGGGTGGGGTATAAATCCAATATCTTCTCCTCTTGTCTCTCTTCTTCTTTGTCATCTCTCTGGCAGATGGAAAATCTGTTAATTTGGCTTTCTAGCTCAGCGGTTCCCAGCCTTTTAGGTATGGTGACCCACACGAGTCCAGTTTTCTTGGTGACCCATCCAAGGCTGGCCTAAGAGATTTGGCACCCTAGGCAAACTATGTCCTTGGTTCTCATCTGGAGGAGGAGGCAGTCGATTTATACCCTGTCCTTGAGTACCCGAAGGAGTCTCAGAGCAGCTTACAATCTCCTTTCCCTTCCCCACAACAGACACCCTGGGAGGTAGGTGGGGCTGAGACAGCTCTCTTGAGAACTGTCCTTGAGAGAACAGCTCCGAGAGAACTTAAGATTGACCCAAGGTCACACCAGCAGCTGCATGTGGAGGAGTGGGGACTCAAACTCGGTTCTCCCAGATTAGAGTCCACGCTCTTAACCATTACTCTGGTTTACCATTCCATTTTCTACAGTGGCTAACCAGAGATTTTTGAGAAACCAGCGAACATTGCCCAAAGGGCACAACTGCCCTCGGTGTGAACCCCAAGCGAGTGGCATTCTGACATACACAACCTTTGCCTGTGGCATTTACATTTCAGCTTGTGAGCACCGTCTCCTTCTCCATTAAATCCCCCTTAAGAGTGTAAGAAACTCACTCTAGTAACCATGAGGACACGTTATACTTGAGGGGAGCGGTGGCACAGGGGATTTATCCTCTGGTTATAAAGTAACATCTGAGCTGAACAGAACGGCTGTCAGTTCTAGCCCCGTGCGGGTGTGAGATGCCAGCCTTGTCCCCAGCTCACCGTCCACCCAGCGGTTCGAAAGCTTCGGCGAGTAGATAAAATGGGTACCACTCCTTAGAGAGGGTGGGCACACCAAACCCCTCGGCGGGGGAGGTGTTAGCCAGCGAACAGAATGTCCAGCTCGTAAGATCAGAAGCCTAGAAAGATCTCTTTGGCCTCAAGAAGCCTGTAATGGGCCGTTCCGGCCAGGCGGTGGCAGTGCGGCGTTGTGACTCGAAGCAGTCCTGGAGAAAGCTGACGTCATCAAGCCAAGCCGAGGGGAAAATGCCGTCTGGAACATGTCTAGTCTATACAGTTGAAACAAAATCCCTGTTGGCTGCGAACGTGTGCAATTTAAAAGATTTATATGTCTGTTCCTCCCTTACTCCTATGAATCATTGTTAGTCCCTTGTGAAATGTGTAACTGTAAATCGCTCAGAGCCAGCAGCTCTGCAGGATTGAGCGATTAATAAATCGAAAGATTATTATTATTATTATCAACATGCAGTGGAGAAATACTAACTAATGTGTAGGGCAGTAAAGATTATTGTTTCCAGGGTCAGATCTTGGTGTCTGGGATATAAAAGAGAGCAGGGGACAAGGCAGTGGTGGCCATTGGGGGAGGGGGGGGCTGGTCCATGACCCGATTTTGGATCCCGCCCCACAGGTTGGGAGATGCTTCTAGCTGCATTGGTGGGCATTCTCTCCGTCCCTCTCCTCTACACCTAGTCAAGTGGCCGTGCAAGAAACTTTCTGTTTTTCAGGAGGCATCCGTCAGCCAAGTTGAAATCTACTGAGGAGCTGGAGCTGGAACGGATGCAGCAGTTGCAACAGGAAGTGGCTGAAATGCGCCGGAAGAACGAGGAGTCCCTCAAAGTTGCCATTGCTGGCCCAGGTAAGCTGGGCCTACACCAGATGTGATTGACCATAGCAGGTGAGTGACAACAGCACGGGTGATTAGATTAGGTGTGATATGCAGAGGGATAGGAGGTGGGCAGAAGTCAGCAAAGGTAATGAGACAGGAAGCCTAGGTCTCGATTCAGTCCAGGAGTATGTATTGTCTTGAGTTTCACTATCAGTATTATATCGAGTCCTAGGCTTCCTATCTCATTACCAGTGCTGATTTCTGCATGCCTCTTATCTCGCTGCATATCACACCTAATCCGATCACAGCTGCTATTGTCATTTGGCATCTGAAATCACTTCACTCGCCAAGATATAAGGACAGCCAGACTCACATTCTAGTTGTGTCTGAAGAAGTGAGCAGTGAGTCACAAAAGCTCATCCCCTGCCACAATTTTTTTTTAAAAAAATGTATTTTAATTTTGTGTAGTTTATAGATACATACCTGTAAGAACAACATTAGACAACGGTCAAACAGACGTTTTGGTGAATTGGTACTATAGCTTACTTCAGCCAACAAAATAAAGAACATAGTTAAAAGGTTGTTTTTTTAAAAAAAGAGAGAAAAATCCTAAGGATACCTTAGTATATAGGGTTTATAGTGTCTACTATTGATTTAAGATCTCCTCTAGATGACAAATATTCTGAAACGGGAAACCAAACAAGTCACAAACATTGATGCCTGAGGGTCGTTTCTTTTTGAGGGATGGAGTCTGTGATTTTATCTAGTATGCAAAGTTCCTGTATTTTCCTTGCCACAAATTTTGTCCGTCTTTTACCTGGACTCATATTATTTAAAAATAATTGTTTTATTAAAATTAATTAAATATTAAATATTTTATTAAACTATGATTATTTTAAAATACGGCACATACCCATCTTCAGTCACACGGTGAAGGTCCTTGTGCTGTGGGGGTGGCAGCTGCAGCCAAAGCAGTTTTTAAAAGTACCACTGGCCTCAACCGTTTTCTAAGATGTGTTGGTGCGCACCATTGGCATCCCGTTGGGGGCCTCTCTTCTATATTCTCCATCCCTCCTTCCGTTATCCCGTCTTTCTGTTTAACCTCTTTGTCTTTAAGGAAGAAAGCCAGTTTGTGTAGTGGTTAAGGGCGGCGGGCTCTAATCTGGGAGAACCTGGTTTGATTCCCCACTCCTCCTCCACTTGCAGCTGCTGGTGTGACCTTGGGTCAGTCACAAGTTCTCTCAGGAGCAGTCCTCAAAAGAGCTCTCTCAGCCCCACCTACCTCACAGGGGAGGGGAAGGAGATTGTTGTGGGGAGGGGAAGGGAAAGGAGTTTGTAAGCCGCTCTGAGACTCCTTTGGGTAGTGAAGGGCGGGGTATAAATCCAATCTCCTCTTCTTCCTCTTTTTCCTCTTCCTCCTCTTCCGCCTCCTCCTCTTTCTCTTCCTCGTCTTCCTCATTTTCCTCCTCCTTCTCCTCTTCCTCATCCTCCTCTTCCTGTTCTTCCTCTTCTTCCCTTCAAAACCCCACAGGGTCTCCATAAGTTGGCTGCAATTTGCCGGGACTTTCCGCTACCGTGTGTATTTTAGTTTGGTTTTTAATTGCTATAATGACTGGGGGAGGGGTTAGTGCAAATGATTTTTAAGACCCGTCTTGATTTATGTTTTCAATCGGCTAGCCGCCTCAGCGGCCCTGGTGAGGGAAGAAAGGCCAGGATATAAATGTTGCCAATAAAAACAAATGAATAATGTATCGTGTGTGTGTGTGTTCTGCACCGTCAAGTCGCTTCCAACTTATGGCGACCCTGTGAATGATTGATCTCCAGAACATCCAATCGTGAACAGCCTTGCCGTGCCTTCCCTGATTAAGTCAGTCCATCTTGTCTTCTTACAATGTGACCAAAGTACGATAGCCTCAGTTTAGTCATTTCAGGCTTGATTTGATCCAGAAATAATGTATTAGGGGCAGTTTGATCTGGATCTGGTGGGTGGGGAGCGCTTTGGCTGGAGGAGTTCAAGCTGCCTTCCAAGCCTCTAACAGCAAAATGTGATAAACTACTATTAATTCATTAATTCATTAATTCAGGGCTCTTTTTGAGGCAGGAACTCCTTTGCATATTAGGCGACACACCGCTAATGTAGTCAATCCTCCAAGAGCTTACATAGCTCTTCTTACAGGGGCTACTGTAAGCTCTTGGAGGACTGGCTACATTAGGGGTGTGTCGCCTAATATGCAAAGGAGTCCCTGCTACAAAAAGAGCCCAGATTTATGACCTGATTATTATAATGCACCAACAACAATGGCATAAAGTATACAGGTAAATGTGACAATATACAATCTTAAAGGAACCGGAAAAGCCACGTGTAGAATTTCTTGACTTGTGCGTTGTAACATTTGTAAGCTTTGGTTCCAGGAGAAATAATTTGCCCGAAGAAGAATTCCTCGTAACATGCAATTTTGCCTGGGAGGCGTGTTGCAAGATACTTGCTGCGTCTCTTTTTTAAAAGCAAGACAGCTACAACATTGAACGCATGACATTTGCTGCGTCTTTTTCTTGCAAGCGAGACAGCCATAACGTTGAACCTTGTCTGCATAATCGTCTCTAACTTTGGATATTCCTTTACGATTGTATATTGTTCCGTTTACCTGTATACTTTATACCATTTTTGTTGGTGCATTATAATAATCAGGTTATAGTGCTAGAGTCTTTATTACATATTAGAAATCTATAGTATTCCATATTACAAATCTGTTCATTAAATGAATGAATGAATTTATAGTAGTTTTATCGCAATCGGGTCCTTTGTTTTTGTTGTTAACACTGTGATTTCCCACGTTTTATTCAACCTTGCCATGTTTCCCGTGTGTTTGTTACTCTAACTGCAAAGGCCTGGGAAATTCCCCTGGGGGGGGCATGTCTCCCCACTAAATGGAGGCCCTGTTCACGCGGTGTAGAAGACTGTCCTTCCATTGCGGCCGTCGGATTGAGGGCTGACTCTAACAGCGACACCTTAAGACGAGCAGCTCTATTCTTCTTCGTTTGATTGCTGAACTTAGCACAATGTGGACAAGTCTCTGGCTTATGAGATTCGCCCAAGCAGAGGAGGCAAAAATTATGTCCGTCTGGCGGTGCCAATTTACTCCCACAACGTTTACAGCGTTTGAAAAAGCCCCACTTCTTTCCCTTTTTTTTCCATACGGAGGAAAACAGGTGATGAGGAAAAATTAGGGAAAGGTGGTGGTGGGGGAACGAAAGGCTAAACAGCCTGGAAAAAATCACCTCAGAGACCCGAAGGTCTGAGGTAAAAATCCCCTCACAAAACGAAAACGAAACTTCAAAATCCTTTCTTTTTTTTTTGATAAACACACAAACTAAGAAAGAAAAAGAGGCGGTTCCTTAAAAAACCCCGAAAACAAAATACTGAGAGCAAGAAACAGCGATCCGAACGGAGATAAGTAAAACAAGTCCTTCCAACGCGGCGGTAAGAAAAGAACTGGTGGGATGTCCGTGCCCGCCCCCTTGGGCATGCGCAGTGGGGCCCTGCGCTTGCCTGAGGGGATGGGCGCGAAAATCCTTTGTAGAGAGCTTGCTACAGCGCCGATTTGATCCAGCGCAGGCGCACTAGACCCATGGGTGTGAATGCACAGATGACCACTCGAAGATCACCAGTTACTGGTAAGCAACCTGTTTTTCTCTCTCCCTCAGGGCAACCTGTGAAGAAGACAGTGACCCAGGTAACGAAGCCAGTAGACTTTCACTTCAGCACAGACGACAGGATTAAACAGCACGGTGAAAGCCAGCCTGGGACAGACTACAAGGAAGTGGATTTTGCAGCTCTCCTGAGGAAACACCCGCCCTCTCCAGTGAGAGGGGGAAAGGCACAGAGATTTGAGAAGGGAGCGTCTGAGATGGGAGCCTTCAGGCGGCGGCTGTTGCCACTGGGGTGGGGGGCAGAGCAGAAAGACTTGCAGGTAGCAAATCCTGCTGGGAAAAGGCCAGGTAGATAAAGGTAAGAAGAAAAGAGATTGGATTCATACCCCGCCCTTCACGCAGAGTCTCAGAGCAGCTGACAATCTCCCTTTCCCTTCCCCTCTCCACAACAGACACCCTGTGAGGTAGGTGAGGCTGAGATAGCTCTGAGAGAACTGCTCTGAGAGAACTTGTGACCAGTGTTCCCTCTAAGCCGAGTTAGTGTGAGGTAGCTCACAGTTTTTTACCCTCTGGCTCACACATTTTTGTCTTAGCTGAGGAAGGAAGGCTCCAGAGCAAGCTAATTGATGCAGTAGCCAAATCGCTCGCTCACAACTTTAACGCTAGTAGCTCACAAAGTAGAATTTTTGCTCACTAGACTCCACAGCTTAGAGGGAGCATTGCTTGTGACTGACCCAAGGTCACTCCAGCAGCTGCATGTGGAGGCGTGGGGAATCAAACCCGGTTCTCCCAGATTAGAGTCTACACTCTCAAGCACCTCGCCACTGTTAGGGTTGTAGGCAGCTTTACAACTCCATCCACTTCGACCCGTCGCCCTAACAGTTCGTCCCCCCAGAGCTGATCCCCTGCGGATGCTCGTTGTAAAAAAGGAGTTTTCTCTGCCCCCTGTTTTGATGCATTGTCTGAATCCTCCTGTAATGAAAAGGTGGAATTTGCCTATCGTTTCTTCAGCATGCTCACCTGCTCCACGGGGCAGGGCATACCTGGCCCCCATGCCAGTAACGAGACGAGCAGAGGTTGGCCGTCCACAGCCAATGCTGGGATTCATGTGTACTTGCAGTCACCGTTCCCTCTAAGCTGAGTTAGAGTGAGCTAGCTCACAGATTTTTATCCTCCGGCTCACACATTTTTGTCTTAGCTCAGGGAGGACAGCCCTGGAGCAAACTAATTGATGGAGGAGCCAAATCGCTCGCTCACGACTTTAATGCCGGTAGCTCACAATTTAGAATTTTTGCTCACAAGACTCCACAACTTAAAGTGAGCATTGCTTGCAGTGTGTGTGTGTGTGGGGGGGGGGACAGGACGACTTCTCAGTATACAGAAAAATATTTCTTTAGTTAACTTACAAAAAAGCTAAGCCCCCTAAACAGTTTGAGGACAGAGTATGCTCCAAGAGGTACCAAATGTACCTCTTTTCTCCCTTTCTCCCAATACAAGAACCCGTGGGCACTCAATGAAATGAACGAGCAGCAAGCTTAGAACAGGTAAAAGAAAGAACTTCTTCACTCCCAAGTGTAATTAACACGGGGAATTCACTGCCGCAGGAAGTGATGGCAGCTACAGGCATAGACAGTTTCAAGAGGGGATTGGATAAACCTACGGAGCAGGGGTCCACCAGTGGGTATTAGCCACAAGGTATAGATGGAACATTCTGTCTTGGGCAGTGATGCTCTGTATCCTTGGTGCTTGGGGGGGGGCAACAGTGGGAGGGCTTCTGGCTTCAGAGGTGGATCTCCTAGTGGCCCCTGTCCCCAGTGGTGCTGATAGAGCCAGTTTGGTGTAGTGGTTAAGTGCGTGGGCTCTAATCTGGGAGAACTGATTCCCTACTCCTCCACTTGCACCTGCTGGATGACTTTGGGCAAGCCATAGCTCTGGCACAGCTGTTCTCCAAAGGAAGATTCACGGTAAGTGAAAGAAACCTTCCGTTCTCTCAAGAGCATTTTCTGTCGAAGCTCTCTCAGCCCCACCCACCTCACAGGGTGTCTGTTGTGGGGAGGGGAAGGGAAAGGAGTTTGTAAGCCGCTCTGAGACTCCTTTGGGTAGTGCTCAATGTTCCCTCTAAGCTGTGGTGTCTTATGAGCAATAATTCCACTTTGTGAGCTACTGGCATTAAAGGTGTGAGCGAGCGATTGGGCTGCTGCATCAATTAGTTTGCTCTCGAGCCGTCCTTCCTGAGCTGAGACAAAAATGTGTGAGCCGGAGGCTAAAAAACTGTGAGCTAGCTCACACTAACTCTGCTTCACCATTAGAGATTTAAAATTTCCGGAAATTTTGAACTCAGAAAAAAACCTGTTTTTTCGTGAAAAAACTGAAATTTTTGGAAAAATTGAAAAAAATGCTAATTAGCACTTCTTTTTTCTTTTCCAGATTGCAAGTCATTCTGTTACTTTAGGAACATAAAATATGACTATGGACCTCTTTACTTGGCATTAAATTATCACACTAGCATATTAAAAATATAGTGTATCCAAGCAATTATTACAAACAGAATACCCATCCACATGCGAAAACAAACCTGAAACCTTTTTCTTTTCTTGTGACAATAGTACCTCCTAAAGGAAGAAATGCAACTTGTTCTTGCATTGGAGAGTTCAGTTTGTAACCTAGGACTTGCTTGTCTTCAGTGCACAGAAATTAGATCAATCTGATACCATACATATTTTTTAGAAATGATTTGGAAAATATTTGAATACCTTGTCTTAAAATATTTTATTTATCATATTAAAACAAAATGCTCCATAATCAATTTTTTCTTCTTTTCTTTTTTCAATTTTTCGGAAAAAAAACAAAAAAGGCTTCAGGAAAAAAACCCGGTTTTCCCCCCCGGGCCTTCACATCTCTAGATGGGTGGGGTATAAATCCAATCTCTTCTCCTTGATCCAACAGGACTTCTCTGACATTCTTATGTCTGGGGCAGGGATGCTGTTTCTTCTTGGTGCTTGGGGGGCAAGAGTGAGAAGGCTTCTGGAGTCCTGGCCCCACTGGTGGACCTCCTGATGGCACCTGGTCTTTTTGGTCACTCTGTGACATAAGAATGTTGGACTGGTTGGGCCATTGGCCTGATCCAACATGGATTCTCTGATGTCTTTACGTAATGTTGAAAGGTGTCGGGCAGCTGCCCTGGCCCGAGAGCTTTCCGAGTCGCGCATCTGCTTATTCTTGGCCGTGTCATTTTTCACCGGCTACAGCTTGTTCCTTAATTTTTTATAAAAACAACCTCATTGAGGGACAGGGAGGAGACGAGGAGCCCTGCAGACACAAGTCGTAAAGCCGGGAGAAAGGCGTTTCCTCAGGGGCACAGTGACGTGAGCTGTTTTTCTGTAGCAAAGTCAGCTTGGTCCTCCACACAAGATCTTGCTGTTTGAAAGACTGGCTTCCTCTGCTTTCAGGCTCGCGTGGGGAAGGGAGCCACGGTCCCCAAGCCCTTCAATCTGTCCCAGGGCAACAAACGGAAGCACGAAGCGACCGTCCCGGAGTTTGTGTCCTTGGCTCAGCAGATTGAGAAGTTCCAGAGAAACACGCCCTCTCGTTACCATCTGCGGAGCAGGAAGGAGGAGGAAGGTAAGGCCGGGAATGGGGGGGGGGTCTGCTGGGAATCTCTCTGGCCGCAGGGGAGAGAATTCTGCAGCCGTCTTGCTTCATACCCGCACGGGGTGCACTCTCTCTTCTCTGTCTGACCCCACTAGCCAGTTCTCGTCAGGTCTTGGAAGCTAAGTGCGGTCGGCCCTGGTTAGTAATAATAATAATACTTTCCATTTATTAATCGCTTTCCCCAGTGGGCTCAAAGCGATGCACAGTTACACATTTTAGACAGGGGACTAACAATGTTCAGGGGGGATAGGGAAGACAACATATATCCTTTTAATTGCACACGCTGTCACTGCACAGTGTAAACCTCTTCTGGCTTGGCTCAGTCATTTTCCAAATGGCTGCTTGTCGACCAGGCTTCAGGACCCGTATGTCAAATCGCCACACTGCCACCGCCTGGCCGGAAACATCCACTGCAGGGATTTTTATAGCCGAGAAGTTCTTCCGCCTTTTCCGAACCTCGACCAGGACGTCCCGACCGTCAGCTAACACCCTCCCACAAGGGAGATTGGCGTGCCCACCCTCTCTAAGGAGTGGTTCCCATTTTATCTACTCGCCGAAGCTTTCGAATCGCTGGGTGGACGATGAGCTGGGGACAACAGGCTAGCTGCTCACACCAGCGCGGGGCTCGAACTGACACAGTTCAGATGTTAAGACAGTGGGATATCCCCACTGTCGCACCGCTCCCCTAGTACTTGGATGGGGAGCCACCAAGAAGACCACAGTTGCAACGCAGAGGCAGGCAATGGCCGCCCCCCTCAGTTCATCTCTGTTGCCTTGACCTGAATGGCCCAGGCTAGCTGTCACGGCTCAGGTGGGGTGTCACCTGACACTGCCACCACTCTGGTTCCAGGCTCCCTTGAGAAGGCCCAGAGCACCCTCCCAAGACCTTCTGACCCTCCCTTTTGGCCGAATAATAGACGCGAGGACCAGGCAGAGTGAACAGTGATGATAGTTTGTTTTTGTCAGCGAGCTGCCATTTCTCTGCTGGGACATCTCACGTCCCTTCCTTTCCCCCCCCCCCCCCCACCATTGTCATGCTTGTTTAGACTTACCCGTGTGAAATGAACTTGTGATTAGAGAAACGGGCGTTACTTTCTCATGTACCTTCGCGCCCTTTCTAATCTCCCCGTATCCAGCGGGAAGTGGGACCATTGGTCCAAACCTTGTTCAAATTTCCTTTATTATACCTGTACTGCTGACTAACGTCATTCCGATCAATCCCTGTGTGTTCGTGATCAACCATGTCTTTGAAATAAATCTTACTTTACTTTTGAACGTGGATCTATTCTCATGCTTGGGGGATCTAACAGTTTTATAGGAGGTCAAACAACAAGGTGCAGAATAATGACAGTAAGTGGGTGAAAAGAAAAGAGATCAGATGCCCTAACGCGTCTAAATATATACTGTCCCTAGCTCTCTATCTGCAGTGGCCTTAGACTACTCCCCCTCCCCTCGGGATGAGGGTCTCTTCCTTGCAGCAGCCCTCCTTCTGGCTCTGCCCTCTGGGAAGAAGAACAGCTTTTCCTGCTGCTCCAGATCTTTTATTCCCAGCCCTCCTTTTTTCCTATTGGTCAGTTTTGGCTCCAAAACCTCTCAGGGGCTTCTGGGAGTTGTAGGCCCAGCCTCACCTACTGCTAGCCAGGCCTCCCTGGGCCTAGTAGGCCTCTGGCGGCACAGCCCAGATCATGACACCAGCCCTCTCTTCTCTGATCCGAGAAGCTAAGCAGAGTCAGCCCTGGTTAGCGTTCGGATGGGAGACCACCACAGGAGTCCCGAGATCTCCCCGCAGAGAGAGGCAGGCAATGGCAAAACCACCTCTGTTCATCATTGGCCCTGACTTGGGTGTCCCAAGCTAGTCTGATGTCATCAGATCTCGGAAGCGAAGCAGGGTCGGCCCCGGTTAGTACATGGACAGGAGACCACCGAGGAAGCCCAGGGCTGCGATGGAGAGGCAGGCAATGGCAAACCCACCTCTGTTCATCGTTGGGCCCTGAGATTGCTGTGGAGTCCACCTCAAGTCGGCTGAGACTTGACAAACAGTTTTCACCACCAAAGCTCTTTAGCTGGCATGGGTTCTTAGCCCTATATGGCCGGGGTCCGACATACCTGAGGGACCGCCTTTCCCCATATATTCCCCAGAGAGCACTACGGTCTGGGTCTCAAAATCGGCTGGCCCTCCCTGGCCCGAGGGAGGCCAAACTAGCTAGCTATCACCAGGGCCGGAGCCTTTTAGTGGCGGCCCCTACCTGGTGGAACAAGCTCCCGGAGGAGATCAGGGCCCTGCGGGACCTCTTGCAGTTCCGCAGGGCCTGTAAGACGGAGCTCTTCCGCCAGGCATTTAAGTAGGGGCTGCCGCTACTGCAGGCCGTTACTGCAGAGCTTGGTCTGTGGTTTTAACATCTAACTGATTATGAGCAGAAACATTGTGGAACATCTGGGCAGTGGAAATTTACTCTAGTAATATACCATCTAGGTTAATTTAACAGCCGCCAGCACTTTGTATTTATAATGTTTTTATTGTATGGTTAAATATTGTGTCATTTTAATGTATTATGTTTTTATGGAAGCCGCCCTGAGCCCGCTTGCGGGGAGGGCGGAGTATACATTTGATAAATAAATAAATTCCCTTCAGGCATGATAGACGAGAATTAGGTAGACAGACGTCCAGTGGGTGAAGGAGGGATAAATTAACAGAAGATGGTATCTCAGGGACCAAGATGTGGGGATCATGGACAGACTGGCTGTCACACGTTCATAGAGTCCATGGGCCCAAGAGGACTCCAGATTCCCTCAACCCCAAGAGGACTCCAGATTCCCTCAACCAAGCTGAATCTATGTATGTGTTGTCAAGTCACAACTGACTTATGGCGACCCCAGCAAGGGGGTTTCCAAACAAGTGAGAAGTGGTTTGCCACTGCCATCCTCTGCAGAGCCTTCCTTGGTGGTCTCCCATCCAAGTACCTATCCCTACTGCAGGCCGTTACTGCAGAGCTTGGTCTGTGGTTTTAACATCTAACTGATTATGAGCAGAAACATCGTGGAACATCTGGGCAGTGGAAATTTATTCTAGTAATATACCATCTAGGTTAATTTAACAGCCGCCAGCACTTTGTATTTATAATGTTTTTATTGTATGGTTAAATATTGTGTCATTTTAATGTATTATGTTTTTATGGAAGCCGCCCTGAGCCCGCTTGCGGGGAGGGCGGAGTATACATTTGATAAATAAATAAATTCCCTTCAGGCATGATAGACGAGAATTAGGTAGACAGACGTCCAGTGGGTGAAGGAGGGATAAATTAACAGAAGATGGTATCTCAGGGACCAAGATGTGGGGATCATGGACAGACTGGCTGTCACACGTTCATAGAGTCCATGGGCCCAAGAGGACTCCAGATTCCCTCAACCCCAAGAGGACTCCAGATTCCCTCAACCAAGCTGAATCTATGTATGTGTTGTCAAGTCACAACTGACTTATGGCGACCCCAGCAAGGGGGTTTCCAAACAAGTGAGAAGTGGTTTGCCACTGCCATCCTCTGCAGAGCCTTCCTTGGTGGTCTCCCATCCAAGTACCTATCCTGTTTTTGAGTTCTGAGAAGCAGAGGTGGTTGGCCATCGCCTTCCTCTGTAGAGCTTTCCTTGGTGGTCTTCCATCCAAGTACCTATCCTGTTTTTGAGTTCTGAGAAGCAGAGGTGGTTGGCCATCGCCTTCCTCTGTAGAGCTTTCCTTGGTGGTCTCCCATCCAAGTGCCGACCCTGCTGAGCTTCCGAGATGTTTCTCAGCCTGTCGATTCTGAAGCTTGTGTGGATTTAAGAAGCCAAATATTCTGTTTCTTCTCTCCCCCCCCCCCTTCTGTGCAGCACCTCCGAGGAGGCCCCTGAAGGCCGTGCTGACCAACCCCAAAACCCCCCGCCTGGAAACCAAGAATCGCTCGAGAGGCGTCACTTGCAAGAGTTTGGCAGAGCAGGAGGAGGAGGAGCTCGCGGCTATCCAACAGTGAGTGTGGTTTCTCGGCCACGACTTCCAGAATTGGGGGGGGGGGCACGCTTCACTGAGGCTGGGCACTTCACATGGGGGTTTTGTTTGTTTGTTTGTTCTCGTGACGTGTTCAGTTTAGATCTGCACGGTTCTGCTTCAGCTCACGGGAAAGGTGGGACTAGAAATCGAACCAAGTAAATAAACAACATCTGGCTGGAAACCGAGGGGAAGGAACAGGCCGGCAGAGTGAAAAATAGTTCTAGAGTCAATATGTTGTCGAAGGCTTTCACGGCTTTCACGGCCAGAGTTCATCAGCTGTTGTAGATTTTCCGGGCTGTATGGCCGTGGTCTTGGCATTGTAGGACCTGACATTTCGCCAGAGGCAAGTGGTCCAGCATCTGTGCTGACATCCCATTACTTTGTGTACATGCAAAAGAACCTCCTCAGGAAATAGGAAACTCCCTCAGGAAACAATCCATACACAAAAGAACCTCCTCAGGAAAGCTCCTCCATTAGCATGTTCACAGCCTGGGGAAGAAGAAGACGAGAAGAGATTGGATTTATACCCCGCCCTTCACTACCCAAAGGTGTCTCAGAGCGGCTTACAAACTCCTTTCCCTTCCCCTCCCCACAACAGACACCCTGTGAGGTCAACAGCTAATTTCTAGAGTCCTCTGAACTTCGAGGGCCCCTAACTCGTTTTTGCCGGCGCACTCGATTAGAGATGTAAAATTTCCGGAAATTTTGAAGCTCGGGGAAAAAACCCGTTTTTTTTCGGGGGGAAACGGAAATTTACGGAAAAAGTGAAAATAATACTACATTAGCATTTCTTTTGTCTTTTCTAGATTGAAAGTCATTCTGTTACTTTAGGAACATAAAATATGACTGTGGACATTTTTACTTTGCATGAAATTAT